TATCACCAAGGGTTTCCATGGGTCTCTAGCCATTGAGCTACAATGACCTGAGGATATGAAGGAGACAATACACATACCTGTGTTCTTACTGGAGGCCTGTGCTCCCAAGGTGATGTTGACCCACAGTGGAGGCTGGTCATACTGGAAAACCCAGCAGCTAAAGATGCTCTCATCCGATTTGGCAACTTCTTGCAATGTGTGCTTTAGAGAGTAAGTCCCATCAGCGTTTCTGGTGACATAAGGGAGCCCAGGAGTCAGGATCTTGTTGTTATTCTTGGTCCAGATTAGTTGCACGTTTTGGGGGTAGAAGTGGCTTACATGGCAAGTCAGGTTCACTCTTTGATGAGCATGATCACGGTTCATGGTGATCTTCAGTGTGGGGATAACTAGAGAGGAACAGTAAGTGAACAGAGGTGAAATCTTGGTACTGTTTTATTTCCCTGTCCCAAGGTCTCTCAGTCATTTTGATAAAATTTGATTGAGTGGTTGATTGGTAGGGTCCCAAAAATTCCAAGAAGACCTTGAACTCACAATGTAGCCAGGGATGACCTTGAGTTCCTGATCCTTCTGCCTCCACTAATACATCCCTTCAGCCCCTCTTTTCTTTTCTTATAATCCAACAGTTGAATTTGTGCTGCCTATATATTCATGGATTTGGGACACTGGAGCATGCTTGACCTACCAGGGCACACACATAAAGAAACCTCACTATCATTCCCTCAGAAACTACAAGCTGTCAGGAGGTCCAGAACTAGAGGGCAGGGGTTCATGAGGACCTCCATTTCATGCTAAAATGTCAAGTGGCCTGATCTTGTGCAATTTTTGTACAGGTGCTGTGAGTTCCCAAGTGAAGAGAGTTCCCAAGTGAAGAGAGTTCCCAAGTGAAGAGAGTTCACAAATTCACTCTCTATTTAAATAAACAACTTTGTATATATTTCATGTAAGACAAATAGGGACAAAAATAAATATTCATGAAATGTAGCTGGAAACACATGGGTATCTAATCTGGTCAGAGTTAAATATTTTATATCATGATATCATGCCTTATAATTAAAATGAATTTATTAAAATGAATTGCATTACAAGAACAGGGACTCAATAATCACAACACCTACAACAGTGCCTGGCACACAGCTATTCATTGTTTATTGAGTGAATAATATTTTACACAGTGCTGGAGATTTCCCAGAACTCAGGATTTTATACACAGAAGACAAGCACTCCACCTCTGAAGTACATCCTCAGTTCTGTTTTTCACTTATTTTGTTTTATTTCACTAATTGTCCAGGCTAGCCTTGAACTTAGTCTTAACCCTTACAAGACTGGAACTTTTTATATCCCTGCCTGTTCCCAAAGGAGCTGAGATTACATGTCTTATGCCACAAGCTTCAGATAATAATAAATACTTAGAAACTTTTAAACATTAGCAATGATATAAATAGGACAAATATGTTTAGAGAGGTATGCTAAGTCCATACAATAGCAAGTCAAACATTCATAAACAACTTACAGTGTTTTAGGCATGCTTTTGGTGTTCTAGAAGAACAATGGGATTAATGGTGAGAGGAAACTTAAAAAATAGGTGCTGGTTTTATTCCATTTTTAGGGAAATTGGGGTACAGAATATAAGACACATGGCCAATATTTTGTAGCCTATGAAATGATACAACTAAGATCAAAGTCCAGCTGATCAACCCGTTGAAACTGTACTTTTAATCCATATTCTTGTGTTCAAGGCTGGCAGTGATCAATTTCTATTCCCCATTTGTAAAATGGGGTGTTTGGCAAAAACTCATCATCCCAGTGTGTCCCCACCAAATATCAGTGATCACTCACCTAGGAGCACTTGAGAAAGATTGATGGTCATTTTTAGGGGCTCATCGAGGTCCCCATGGGTGACTTCACAGGTGATCTGAGAAAAGATATCTTGTTTGGCCAATGCCACCCATGCCTTGCTTGTGAAATAGTAAACATCTCTGCTGATAGGCAGCTGCTGTGGGGCTGAGGCTGGATGTCTATTATTGTTCTTAAACCAGTTAACACTGAGGTTCCTGGAGCTGAAAGGACCAGAGGTGCAGGTAAAAGGCACGGAATTTGAAGTGACTGTCCTCTGCTCTGGGCCCTTCAAAGAGATGAAAGGCTTCCCAGCTAAAAAACAAACAAACAAACAAACAAACAAATAAAAACCAGTTGTGAGTACCTTCTCAGTGTTGGAGGAACCAGTATAGAACACTATGTGAACCCTACCAAGGCCTGTCCCATGAGTAATGAAAATTGTCCTTTCTCCTGAGGTCACTCTTTCGGAGATATAGAGCAATGGCTCACTCAAGTCAAAATGCAGTCCCCTGTCCCCAAGCTCAAGGGAGAATATACTACCCATGATATCTGACTTTGAGGAGAATGTAAATTGGCCATAATGAACAAACAGCAAATAAAATATGACTACTATGGGGGAATGAAAGTCCTCAGGAAACTCAACATGTGCAGAGAGAGAAAAGTGAGGAGTCACTCTAAAAGGGTGGTCACCAAGGACATTTTGAGTTAAACAAAAATTCTGTGTATAGTCATGGTGCATGAAGTTAATCCCTGCAGCCAGGAAGCAGAGGCAGGCAGATCTCTGTGAGTTCTTGGCCAACCTGGTCTACAGAGAGAGTTCCAGGACAGCAAGGACTGTTACACAGAGAAACCCTGTCTCAAACAAACCAACAAAAGAAAACAAAAATAGGACAACTGAGGAATGAATAAAATCCATCTATGGAAGAGGACACAGTAATATCATATGGGCCTGAGGAGAGAGAGTGCACATGCTTGGGCACATGCTTGAATGACCATATGACCCAGCTGTACAGCTCTTTGGCTGCCTGAGGCAGTAAGACTTTAGGAGGCTTAAGAAAACAGGTCTACTACAAGACTGCAACATTGCTTTCTACATGTGCAGACCTAGTTCATTAGCTTTCACAGTCTTTTCATGATGGGTTTCAACAGTGAATAGATAATGCAAATTTGAGGTACAGACAACTACACACACACACACACACACACACACACACACACACACACACACACGCTACATGAGCACACTATTCAGCTTTGAAGAAAAATGTATTCACAAAATTAAAAGAATAATGAATGGACTTCTCATGTATAATCTTAAGTGAGATCACAAATCTCAGATAAAAAAAACCTGCATATCCCCTCTCATATTCGGAATCTAACAACAATATATACATATATGTAAACAAAGTAGAAAAGAAAACAAGAATGACTTAATATGAGGAAGAGGAAGGACTGAATGCAGGTGATGGATATGAGGTATGAAATAGGATATGAAGTTAAATGTTTAGTTACTCCTCTGTCATGGATTTTTATATTTTGATGGTAAATAAGTGTATAAAATATATTCAGCAGTGCAAGTTTAAAGTCCACTGAAGTTGTACAACTTCCATTCCAAATGGAAAGTCTAACAGTAGAAAAGTTCATTGAGCTGTACTGATGTTGGGTCTGGTTAACTTTACTGTGTAGCTGTTTTGTAAGATTTTTATAATTTAGTTTACTTAAAATTTTAGATATGAAAGAAGAAATAAATAAAACAGTACAAAGAATCAAGAAATCTGACAGGTAGTGCGCTGAGAAGATTAAGATTGACAGACTCCTAGCCCAATGGACTGAAAGAAGGGAGATAACTCAACAGAACCAGATATGAATGGGAAAACATTATAGTAGACACCAAAGAGATTTAGAAGATCATAAAGGAATACCTTCAAAATCTATACACTATTATGTAAGAAAATAAATAAACGAATTTCTAGATTCTCCCAAACCATCAACCATCAACCAAGAAAAGATAAACAACTAAACTAGACTCATAACAAATAAGAAGATGGAAACAGCAATAATAATACATATACAAATAAAAAACTGACCAAAACAAAATAATCCAGGTCAAGACAGAATCACAGTAGAATTACACCAGACTGTCAAAGATCTACCACAACACTTCCTAAAGTTTTATTAAAATAGAAACAGAAGTAACACTTCTAATATCTTTTTACAAAGCCAGTGTTACTCTATATAAAAACCAGGCAAAGATATAACAATAAAGAAAACTAGAGGCCAATTTCCACAGTGAACATAGGTGCAAAAATCCTCAACAAAATAATTGCTAACTGAATATGGGTATGCATTTAATAAACCATCCACTACTATTAAGTTGACTTTCTCCTGGAGATGCAAGGATTGATAAGTAACTCAGTTCATTTAATAAATCATATGGACATCAACACAAAAATCATATGCTCAACTCTATAGATGTCTAAAAGTTCTTTGACAAAAAATTCACTATGTGTTCATAATATAAGTTGTAGAAGGACATCAGCAGACTCACATCAACAAAAATAAAGGCCCCATGTGACAAACCCACAGCCAACATCATCTTAAATGGAGAAGAACGTGAAGCCATCCTGTTACAATCAGGAGTGACAAGGCTGGTCACTCTCCCCACTCTTGCAATAGTGTGCTTGGGGCACTAGCGAGAGTAATAAAGAGGGGGCACAAATAGAGTGGGGCTCGAGTCAGGAAAGCAGTTGGACTATCCCTATTTGCAGAAGATATGTAATGATGAAGTCTTTCTATGACTGATACGAAGGTACGTTGAATTTTGTCAAAGGCCTTTTATGCACATACTGGAATGAGCATACAAGTTTTCTCTTGAAGTCATTTATATCATGTATTACATTTGTACATAACAGATCCCTAAGTTCCATGAGGAACCTTCTAGAAATTGTCAGCAATTTCAACAAAGTGACATAATACAAAATCAACTTACAAAAATCTATATATGCCTTTCTATATACCCATAACAACAAAGAAAGCTGCCTCTACATCTCTGATTTTCATATTGTCTTGCTTTCAGCCCAGCTCTGGAACAGGCATCTTGTAAACTTGGAGTAATCACTACAGAATCTCAACTGTGTCCCAGTGTTCAGATGCCACCCAAGAGCCAAGGAAGGGAAGCCTTGGCAGAGATAAAACAAATTAAAAAGGGAACTGATTACCTGGGGTCACACAAAGAGGCATTGGCCACACTGATCCTGCAGTAGGACTCTGGTCCATTCAACTGCAAAGTTCACACATAAGCTCCAAGAGCTGGGGAGGGGACATGCGGAGAGGGACATACTTGATAAAGTCACAGGCCTGGGCTCTCAGACATCACTGAAGTTTAAGTACTTGATTGAGGGAGCTGAACAGCATAGACAGATGAGACATTTCCAGAAAAGTAAACACCTTCCAACAGGATTTGAGAAGTGTTCTGTGACAAACCTGTATAGTCTGTATTCTCAGGTGACAAAGAAGAGAAACACAGAAACGTCACAGGTAGTTTGTGATGTGACAGCTGCCTTGTAAGCCTAGTGCTCTGACTG